AAAAAAAAGTACCGCAACATGCGTCCCCTTGATTGTATTGTGAGAAGTAGCTATGTTTCTTCTTTTTGTTGTTGTTGGAAAAAGGCTGTGCTTAGGAACATTCTCCTTTTCTTTGTTCCTCTTTAAATTTCCTTTTTCTTTGGACAATTGGAATTACCTCGGGCAGATTATAGGCCTTAGGCGATGCTCCAAGGTAATCTCATTGTATGTGGATTCGAACTTGGGTCTGCATTTCATTTTATTTTTAATTTTTAATTTTTTTAAATTTTTTTTTTTTTTTCTTAATAAAGTTGTACGCTGTAGAGGTAGGACAGTTGGCATTTGAGCTCAAGAGCGCAGGTACCAACCCACCTCGGTCTGTATTTCATTTTAATTATTTTGAAAAATAAAGGTGTACACGTTTGAGGTAGGGCAGTTGGCATTTCAACAGTTCGTGGGTGTACCAACGGAGCCTGGCCCGTTGGCTTTTTTACTTATCTCGAATTGATTTTATTTTTTTTTGCCTTCTTTTTTTTGCTAAGCCTTGGAATTTGGTTTCAAGTGGGCCCAGTTCCCAAGGCTATACAGCAATCCAGTAGCAGATAGCAGGGGCCAACAGGCTTCCACCCTGACGCCTACCGTCTTCCCCGGAACATAAAGCACCCTAAAAATGAATGTACACAAGATATATTTCCGGCCAGATACAGGCAAAATGAGGGTGCGTTGTGTTCGGGGGAAAACGGTAGGCGGAGCTGCGCCCGGGGGGGAGGTCCTACTAGCAAGGACGATTGGATTGAGCGGCTGAATCTGCCCGTGTTTGTCGAAAGGTGCAGATTATCGCCGTTGATCTGCTATTCTGCACCTCTGCTTTACTTCCCAAGTATTTCCCAACAGACCTCGATCCTCTTTGCTACTGTCTTCCCTCGAACATAACGCAACCTAAAAATGAATGTATACAAGCTATATTTCGGGCCAGATACAGCCAAAATAAGGGTGCGTTGTGTTCGGGGGAAGTGGGAGATCGCCCCGTGACAAAAACATCCCGAGTACTTATTTTATTTTTAGAATTTTTAGTATTTTTTTTTTAATATTGTTTTGACCCCCATATGTTTGACATACACAAATAACGTCTACAGTTACTACAGCTTCCTCTTCTTCTTCTTCTTCTTTTTCTTCTTTTTTTTTTTTTTTTTTTTCCCAATACTGTTTCTCTAGTTATGGGTGTCATCCTTGCGCAGGCATTCAACAAATACGGCATGATGGTAATAAGTACATCTCTGAACATACCAGCTCGAGTGTTGATCTCCCATACGCCTGCATCATGGCGATAAAGACGGTCACGTGCTGCTGAGGTGCAGATTATGTATCTAGTCGTTTGCGCCGCTGAAATGCGTTTTGGTTCCATTTTCTTTTACGTCGATTGCGCCGCTGAAGGCGATGAAGACGGTCAGGTGTAGATTATGTATCTAGTCGTTTGCGCCGCTGAAGGGCGTTTTGGTTCCATTTTCTTTTCCGCTGACGTACGCTTTTTATCTGCACCAAGCCTACGTCGCTGATTTTTTTTTGTCGTTGGCTTAAAAATAATTAACCTTATTAAATGTCATTACAAAAATTGTCGTTGTTGTTTCTGCTGCATGCCATGCCATGCATTGCGTGTTTGATTGGTAGACTACGGGGCAGTGTCTTGCTTTTTTTCCCCCCCCTAATCTGTTTTTTTTTTTTTTTTTTTTTTTGGACCATTTCTCGATTTATGCACACGTGTCATCCTTGCGCAGGGGCCATGCTAATCATCTCTTTTCTGTGTCGTTCCAATTTTAACGGATGTCCTGAAGAACACTTTTTTGTCTTTTGTACATTATTAGTACATTTGCAATTTCTTTTTAATCTATTTCTCTTGATTCCGCTGCCACCCTTCCCCCATCGCTTCTACCTCCCCTTGCCCACTTTCTGGTCTAAGTTCATCTAGTTATTTATAGCAGTACTGATCTCACGCAGTATTGGATGTTTCCTTTCTTTTTATAAGTTCGTTTCTAGTGTCTTTTTTTTCTTCCCTATTTTTATGATTTTTTTATTTTTTTTTTAATTTGGACCATTTCTCGATTAATGCACACGTGTCATCCTTGCGCAGGGACCATGCGAATCTTCTTTCTCTGTATCGTTCCAATTTTAACGGATGTCCCGAAGGACCCCTAATGTTTTTCTCACGCTCGAAGTCTCTGGTCTTTTTTTTTTTTTTTTTTTCGCCTACTGTTTTTCTCCCTCACGAAGTTTCTGGTCTGGTATCGCTGTTTAAACAGTTGAGGTATATTTATATAGGATAATATTAGGAGTTTTTTTTCGACGCAGTTCTGGACGTGATCGCTTTCAGATGCATCCAGTTCCGTCCATAATTGCGGTCAGATTCATTTAGAAAGTCCCAGTGTGAGTATGTCGTGAATGTTTCCTTCTATTTCTAGTTTTTTCTCTCCCTTGCGAAGTTTCTGCTGTCGTTTTTTTTTTTTTGCTTTTCTTTTTTTTTAAAGGGCGGCGGCCTTTAGATGTCATCATTGAGCTGACCGGCCACAGGCCCACAGGCAATTCAGGAATATTAGGTTTGAATGATCAAGCTCCATCATCTAGATTCGAACACGGGACCGGTCTGTATTTCAACAGTTACATTGGTGCACCCACTGAGTCATCAGTCCATCATGATGTTGGTTTTGTGATTGAGGAAGGACAGCTGGACCATCTTAAATTATTATTTAAAAAAAACAAAAAAAACAAAAAAGAGCTACCCTTGGGTGTGTCGTTATTTATATGCCTACTCATTATGTCCACTGGGGCGAGGAACCCTCTGCACGGATGAATTAAGGGCCTCCCTCCACTACACAACATTCTACATGTATCTGGACTGCTTGCTTGACCAGATACATTCGGACTGATCCAATATCATGAATGCATTGGGTCCATTACGAGTTCACATTCATTGAGAATGTTGCTGCATCGGAGTGAGGCCGTAAGATGTATTGACCGTAAATAGTCAAGATCCTCGACGATGACATTCAGATAAAAAAAAAAAAGAAAAAAAAAAGGAGGTCTCTCTTGCCCCGTGCATGAACTATTTCTCGATTTATGAGTGTCCTCCTTGTGCAGGGGCCGCTTTGATAATTACCCTTCTCTGTATCGTTCCAATCCTAACGGATGTCCCAGCGTTCATGTGAGGGACACCGGGCCCGCTTCCCGCGTTTATAAATTTGTTTTTAAAAAAAAAACAAAAAAAAAAAACAAAGTATTAGATATATTTGGGCATATGACATTCAATGGTTACTGAGCGTGACCAAAGCACGTGTTTTTTTTTCCTCCTTTTTTTCCCGCAAACATTTTTTCCGTGGCCTGCACTCCAGCGAATCAGCGATGATGATATTTTTCCTTCTTTTTCTTGTTTTTTGTGTCATCGTCAATGCCATGATTGCCATCCACAACCGATCCCAGAATTGAGGGCTTGCTATAAAAAAAAAAAAAAAAAAAAAAAAAAAGGGCTTGCTACTTCCTTCTTTTTTTTCCCATGGCCACTTTTTGTTGTACAATCCGTTCGAGAAGTGCGCATTGATAAATCACAAAAAATCATATTCCGATTTTTTTTGGAGCATGCACAAGTACTTGTCCCCTGCATGCATGCTCCAAAACTTTAATGACAAGAAAGTGCCAGCGTTTTCTTCGCATTTTCCTAAGGGAAAATCCTCTACCAAAAAGAACTTCCAACTTCCAAGTTCTATATGACATTTTTAATCGGTCTCCGGA